TCCCTATTTTAAATTATGGTATATAAATGGTAATTTAGTATACTAAATGTAATTATCTCTAACTTTAAATATTGAGGGTAATAAGGTTTCATATATGACATAGGAAGGTAAAAATTCCAAAAAAAAAAATCTTAGAGCCCGTTTGGACATAAAAAATTTCCTTTTTTTCGATTTTTTATTTTTTTTATTTTTTTTCGAAATCAGTGTTTGTTCATAATATTTTTAATTTTCACTTAAAGATGCATTTTGAAAAACTCTAAAAAGCTGTTTTTTTTTAAAATTTTCACTCAGTAGGCGTTTGGACATAAGAATTGTAAAATTCGAAAAAATGGTGAAATTTTTTTTCAAGTGAAAATGATATTTGAAATTTAGAGTTGTGTTTGGACATAAATTTCAGTTTGGGTTGTTTTTGAAGTTTTGTGAATGAAAATTTTGAAAAACAACCTTTTGTAGTTTTTAAAATTTTCGAAAATTTCCAAAATGCATCTTCAAGTGAAAATTGTATGAACAAACGCTGATTTCGAAAAAAAGTAAATTTTTTTGGAAAAACCATCCATCAAATTTTATGTCCAAACGGGCACTCAGCTTACTCACAAAACTTCAAAAATAACCCAAAATTATATTTATATCCAAACACAACTCTAATTTTCTAATACCATTTTCACTTGAAAATTTATTTTACTTTTTTTTTAAATTTTTTTTTTTTACAATTCTTATGTCCAAACGCCCACTTAATAACTGTAATTTTCATATCAGTTTATATACATCTCGATTAAATTTATTAGGTATTTGCTATTTTTTACTAATACATATGTCAAGTAACTCCGCCCACTAAGACAAACAGATTGTGTTCCATCATGTCTTGCCTTTTCTTCTCTAATCTATATTTTTTTTATTATATAGGAATAGTACATTACAAAGACGAATTCAAATTTAGAGCGAGTATGATCTTATTATATGTATATATTTTAATTATTTTTATTTATATAAAAATAATTCAATTCGAAAATAAAAAATTCAATTGAACCCACAAAATTCATCCTAAATTAGCCAATAATACTTTTAGACCATAATTGTACCTAGGTTGTCACAAGTCAGGACTTGCAGTTTTCGTACAAAACCATAAAAATACAAGGTTAGCATTTTCTTTATTACTAGTTTCATTACTTGTTGAGTCAATGGTGGTGACGTGTACTTGGCCATGCTTCCGTCATTACTCCCTTCGGTCCAAAATAAGTAATTTTTTGGCCTTTTTCTTGTGGTCCAAAATAAGTGATTTTTCCAGATTTCAAGAATGAATTAATTATTTTTTTCCTACATTGTCCTTGGAGTAAATAGTGTTGGAATATGTGTTAGGAGTATTTATGTGAGATAGTAAAGGTTAATATGGTCAATTCCATTGCTAATTAATGCTAAAAGGTAAATTTCTTAATCTGTGTGAAAACATCCAAAAAATCACTTATTTTGGACCGGAGGGAGTATTAACTTTTTCTTTCTTGCTCAATGTGGCCTTTCATTTTTATTTTTTAGATTATGATTAGAAAGTAAGCTTATCACTGTAGTAAAGGCGAAACTAGGATTTCAATTTTATAGGTTTTGAATTTTAGAAGGACGACTGTAAATAGTAATAATTGGGGTTTAAGTCTAATATTTATATATATTTAATAAAATTTTTTAATATAAATATATCTTTTTAACAAAAAATTACTAGATTCGGCTGAATTCGTACTTGGGCTTCTAGATCCGCCCCGACTATAAGGTCCCTCTCCCCCTCTCATATTATTTCTTCACTTTGTTTTTATGGGTGGGAAAAGGGTGACATGCATTTAGTAAATTTCATCCTTCCTGTTTTATGAAATCTGAAACAGATATATTCATTATAATATTTAACTTTAGAAAATTAATTGATCTAAGAATTAAGATACTCTCAAATGCTTGAGAGTATATTTTTACATAATATAATAAGTACGCAATAATATTAGCAATACTTTATGTAAACACCATTCCCAAGCTTTGACAGCTCCAATGATTGAATAAAGAGACGCGTTACGCTATTCACTTTGAGGAAAATTATATTTTGTGTCTCGTGCAACTGATATTAGTGGTATGAGGTAATTTTTTTATCTCGCAGTTTTGTGGACCCAGATTTCTGTGGATCCAGAAGTGTAGGTTGGGGTCCACAAATTTATGAGACAAAAATTAATATCATACAACTAGCGTAAATTGTAAGAGACACAAAATAAAACTTCTCTCACTTTGATATTCTTAACATAAAGACAACAGCTATTTTGTCACATCAATATACTGGTCACTAAAATCAATCTGGATTAAGCTCATCAACATCTCAACACAGGACCAAATAAGCTCAACTAAATATGGCAGGTGGGCCGGGTCAGCCCGCATCTTGCGTGGCTAGACGCATTAAAGGAAATTTTACCTCCTATAGTAAAAGTTGATACTTTATTATTATAAATAAATACCCTTTTAAAAAATTATTTCCTATAGCTACCTTTAATTTTTATAGCAAAATATCTATTTATGGTAACATCCTGTCTTTAAGTCATTAAATATACTCTGTATTATTTTTCTCTCTCTATCTTTCTTTTTTTTTTTCCTCTCACAAAACTACCATATAGGAAGTAAACTTCTCTCTCCCTCTCTCCTCCTTTCTCTTTCTTCTCTTTTTCCCCTAGCTTTTTCCTCCCCTGCTTTTAGAAACCCTTGCGAGGGCTGTGTTCCGCCAACGACAGATCCGGCCGGCGACCACTCCCCCTTCCTTGTTGTGTCATCCCTAACCCCCTCCTCCCTTATCTTCCCGCATCCGCCACATTCTCTCTGTCACTTCTCTTCCCCATTCTTTCTATCAACGATTCTCCACTGATTCATCTTCAGTGTCTCTCTCAATTTTCAACTTTTTTTGCTCTAAAGAGTTGTGGTAAGTAGAAACGAAGATCTGAAATAAAAAAAAAAAGATAAAAGAGAAATACAAGTGCAGATCTCAAAATTTCAAAGCAGAAATGAGAGATTCACTACCTGGACGACTTAGAGGGCGCCGGTACCGGCAACGACACCCCACATGGTGGCGGTCTGGATATTAGTGGATTAGGGACGGAGTTTGGGGCTGAGAAACTTGAAGAGTCTGTTACTTTTTTTTTCATTGTATGTCAATCTATCTTGCTGTATTTTATTGTATTCACTGTCTTTAGTTTTTTTCTACTTTTTCAATATATTCACTGTATTTAAATGTATTCAATGTAATTATATAATTTCAAAGCTTCACTTTGTTTCACTATTTTGTCCAGCAGTATGTATTCAATGTATTGTAGACTGTATTCATATATTTCTTTAATTAATATAATTTATGTATTCAGATGTATATATGTATTCAATTGTATCTACAGTAGGTATTCATATATTTTTGCACTATAGATGACTTGCTATACTTCATGTATTTCAATGTATCTTTATGTATTTAACTGTATTCAATGTAAATATATAATTTCAATATATCAATTTATTTGTAAAGATACCAATAAAAAATATTTTAGTAAAGATACCACTAAAAAAAGAAAGGATGGATTGAATCTCTGAAGATTACTCTATTTTGGGGTATTTTTCGGTTGAGAATCTTTTATATTACTGAAAATACAAATTTTGTGTGTTATAATTGCGTTTGTTGAGTTATATTAGGAGTCTATCACGTTAATTGATTCACTACACTCTATAACAAGTTAAAACATAGCTATAAGAAGTAATTTAGTAAATGATAGCTATAGCAAGCTAATAATTACTAAAACATAGTGGTTTCTGAAAATTTCTCCGCATTAAAACCCAAACCGAAATGGCCCGGTATGGGGAAGGGACTGGGCTGGGTTGGGCTAGAGGTATCAGAGAGGGGGTTGGGCCGGACAGGACGAGCTCGGTAACTTGGGAAATGTTGTGAAAATAGTACGGGCTAGCCAATTTTCAGACTAGTAATTGAAAAATATCCAGCAAAGTCATTGAAAAAATAACCACTATTTTACTGAAACACGGAAAGTTCCAATATAATATGCTGGATTAAGGAACTCATGCGTATAAACTTTCAGCATATTATGTTGGAACTCCAGCATACGGAAAGTTCCAGCATAATATGCTGAATTATGGAGCTAATGCATATAAACTTCCAGCATATTATGTTGGAACTCCAGCAGCATTATGAAATTCTAGCACATTATGCTGGAATCTCATATGTAAAAAATTTGAACTCCAGCTTATTATGCTGGGATTTTTCCGAATTTTTAAGGGTGTTTTTATTCAGATTTTATCTTTATATGTAAAAGTAACTAAATTTTGATTGCTTTTGAAACTGTAACTATTTTTCAATTACCAGTTGTAAATCTGACTATTTTTTTTCCATCAAAATGAGATGGTCAAATACGTTGTTGCAAATAATATGACTTCAAGTAGCGGCAAATGCTATAAAAATTCTTCAGGGCCAAACGGTTATTAGCTAGCTCATGATTATATTAGAATATAAAAAAGGCAATTTGTAAATTAAAAAAAGCATTACTGTTTCCAATTTGTAACGGCTCTTATCCAAGTAAAAAATAGCCGTTAAGCCTCTGCCTTTTTCTCTCCTTAAAATGCTGAACCTTTTCCTCACTGAAAACCACAACAATCACTTTAGCTTCTGTTTTTCTGCAATCTGAAGCTACCCCACCTCTGTTTTGCACTTCTTACAACTTGGTGACGACTTTAGTGCTTAAAGGAACACCTTTTGTATTTCATATTGAGTCCTCCGAGGTGCGGCCTACTTGGTGTCGAATTAGCTCGACAGGTCACTCAATAGTTTTCCGCAGAGTATGCCCTGTTTTAAAACACTCAAACCTATGGCTAAAGTAGCTCTCACCCTTTGCTTCCTACTTTTGTCCCACATTTCAGGTTTGTACACAAACTCTTACTATATCATTTGCTCTGTCATTGACTCAAAATGAGTTAAGAGTACAACCATTTTAACTCTTTTCCCTAGAAACAACAAAGCCATCTAACTTTTGACATTTGATTGGGACTTCTTATACTGTGTATTACTCGGATAGGGAAGTCTTGGAGCAACGGTTAAGTTGCCTTCATGTGACTTATAAGTCACGGATTCGAGTTGTGTAATCAGCTACTTATGTTTGTATTAGGGTAGGCGGCTTACATCACACCACCCTTGGGTTGCGGCCCTTCCTCGGACCCTGCGTGAACGTAGAATATTTTGTGCATCGATCTGCCTTTTATACTGCCTATTACTCATTGATTGTGTAATAAAATTTATACATTATCAGTATAATTTAATCGGTTATTTGCCTTATTTTAGCATGTGGCAATCCATTCTACCAAATGATGATATGCTTTTTCCTTATTCTCTCTTTATAGAATGGTTATATGATACTTACTGTTTCATTCTTGTTCTTACAGTGGGAACTTTGGTGTTAGCAAATCAACAGGTAACTTCAAGAACTCAAAAATACTTTTTTTTTTATTTAAAAAAAGCAGTTCGGTGTACTAAGTTCCCGCTATGTGTGGGGTCCGAAGAAGGGCCGAACCATATGGGTCTATTGTGCGCAGCCTTATCCTGCATTTCTGCCGGAGGCTGTTTTCACAGCTCGATGGTCACACCGCGGAAACTTAACCAGCTACGCCAAGGCTTCCCTTCAAGAACTCAAAAATACTTAAAATGGGAAAATTATAAGTTAATAATAAAGTGAAAGGACTATTAATTCTTTTTTTGCATTTGGTTTTTGCAGAAAACTTGGTGTGTAGCTAAACCTTCATCAGATCAGAAAACATTACAAGAAAACATAAATTATGCATGTTCTCAGGTTGATTGTAGGATCTTGCAAAAGGGTTGTCCTTGTTCTTCCCCAGATAATCTCATGAACCATGCTTCTATTGTTATGAACCTTTATTACCAAGCTAAGGGAAGGAATTATTGGAATTGCCACTTTGGTAATTCTGCCCTCATTGTTTTGACTGATCCAAGTAAGTAACACTTTTAATTCTTATTTTTTTTAATTTTTTTTTTTTTGCGTAATATTGGAGCAAGCCAAGGGTATTTCGGAAACAACCTTTACCGGTATAAGGTATGCGTACACTCTACCGTCCCCAGACCCCACTTGTAGGAATTCACCGCATATGATGTTGGTTATAATATTGGGTTAAGATGAACTTAAAGGAGCGACATGAACTAGAGTTAGGGGTCGGGCTATGTACAACCAAGTGTGTTCAATTGAATCCTCTTTGTGTAACTAGGAAAGAACATATTTTTTTGTTATGTATAAATTGTTCTCCTTTACATAAAGAAATATTCCAGTATAGTGGTAAAGGCGGTTAAAAAACTACTATAGGTCACTAGTTCAAATTTTAGGCGTGACATTTTAGTATTTTTTTGGACGCCCTTACATAAATTTCTGATTCCGTTACTGGAACCAAGATTCATATAGTCGCCCAAGTTTTGCTTGGGATTGATGCGTTGTTATTATCTATTTTCTTGCATAAATTTGTGATTCCGTTATCGGGACCAAGATTCATATAGTCGACCCCATTTTTGCTAGGGATTGATGCGTTGTTGTTATCTGTTTTCTTGCTATAACACTCAGATTATGCAATTTTGACAATATTATTCAAGATTCTTGATTGATCAATTATGGAATCTTGACAATGGCAGGTTATGGCAGCTGTATTTATGAATGAAGACATCATTAGGATAAACAGCTAAATGTGGATGCCATTTTTTTTATCCTTTTTCTTTTTTTGGTTGACTAATTATTTAAGAATATTATTAGTAACATATAATATGTCACTCTATGGAGTTCTCAAAATATAGTCCTGTACAATAACCTTTAATTTCAATAAGTCCTTATATAAGTGGTGCCAAAGATCTTGTGTGAAACTTTTATTCCCTTGGGGATTTGTATTCTGCTTCAGCTGAATTATAAATAAGCAAAAATGCCACTTTACTTCAAAATATTATTGTAAAGGTGTCCAAACAGTTTGGTTACCAGTACTACAACGATGACGATAATAATTATGCATTTGCCAAGCAAGTCGGGTCAGCTATATGAGTCCTTATTGTACGTTCATGTTGCTCAATTTATCTCGTCTTGACTAGTTTCACGATTACTGTGTGGCCCTGCTTTGATGTTATTTTAATAATCGTCGTGTCGGGGCCAGATTGCACGCGTTTCGGCTAAGTCCACGAGGTATCCATTACCTCCCCACCATATATGTATGTGATAACTCTATCCACCAAAACTTTGACTACTATTGACATAATTAATTAAAGTCAAACTCAGAATTTAAAGATTACGGTACAGTTTGCTTGAAGTGTCAATATCCAACTTTAAAACTAATCAATAAATCGTTTGATATAATAATAATTGTTAATTTCCAGGCATATTCATGACTATAGAATTGTCTCCGTGTGACCTATAGATAACGAGTTCAAGCCGTGGAAGCAGCCATTAATGTACGCTGTCTACATCACACCCTTTACGTGTGACCCTTCTCCAGCGTGAATGGCGAATGCTTTGTGCATCGGGCTGCCTTTTTTTGCCAGGCATATTCAAGACTATAGATACATTAATAGAGTGCTCCTTGTGTTGAACAACCATCACTGCATTGAATTTCTAGCTTCTCCAATACAGAAGCATTCTTTATTATATGAATTGCAAATCTCAAATGATGAACAAAACAATCTGGAAACTCTTTATTTTCCCAAAATATATCCTCTTGAGGTAGAATGGATTTAGAACCTCGAGTCTTGTCACCCTGTATCATATAATATGCATAGTACATTCAGAATTTGAAGTCAATAGGTTCAGAATTAATATGATCTTAGAGCCCGTTTGGATATAAGAATTTTTTCCCTTTTTTTTTGAAAAAAATTCACTTTTTTTTTTCGAAATCAATGTTTGGCCATAAAATTTTCAATTTTCATTTGAAGATGAATTTTTGAATTTTTCGAAAATTTGAAAAACTGCAAAAAGATATTTTTCAAAATTCACGCAGATCACTCAGAAAAATTTAAAAATAACCTAAAATTATATTCATGTCCAAATACAACTCTAATTTTCAAATATTATTTTCATTTGAAAAAAAATTTCTTCTCTTTTTTTGAATTTTACAATTCTTATGTCCAACCGCCCACTTAGAGCCCGTTTGGCTATGATTTTTTTTAAACTTTTTTTTTCAAAAAGATTTTCACTTTTTTTCGAAATCAGGTTATAAAACTTCTAATTTTCATTTGAAGATGAATTTTGAAATTTTTCGAAAATTTTAAAAACTCAAAAAAATATTTTTCAAAATTTTCACTCAGATCACTCAAAAAAATTCAAAAACAACCCAAAATTATATTCATATCCAAACACTACTCTAATTTTCAATATTATTTTCACCTGAAAAAAATTTCACCTTTTTCAAAATTTTACAATTCTTATGTCCAAACGGCCACTTATTAATGGTATGCCTTTTTTTTTTGTTGCATATATATATATTATTCAAGTCGAAAGTAATAAGTTAAGTTGAACCCAACAAAACCCGCCATAAATATAGTGACCCGATTAGTGATATCAAGAGTTTGAAGATGGCTCCACACTATGAAGATGAAGCTAAGCACAATGTGGTCACTCATGTTGTTCAAGTCTAATCTGGTGCATAGCACACGCACCTCGGTCAAAGGGATTCCGTGCTCATAGCGTTCATAATCTCGATTGAAACATAGATCGTTGGTCTCGTCACACCCAATGTAAAGGATTCCACCTTATCAAAGATTGGTGACCTTTTCCATCCACGTGTTCTTCATTGATTGTTAAACATTACGAAAATCATCATCTTCTTCTTATATGATGTGATTTAATAAATACTACAGTTAAATCTTAGGTGTGTTATACTTGCTTACTCTCATCCTCTTAGGTGTGATTTAATAATTTATTCTTATCTAGAATAAATTATCTTTGGCTAAGATTTATCCAAAATCTTCTTATTTAATTAGTTTAGCAAAAAGCTCAACACTTTTTGGTCAAACAATATCCTCTTGAGGTAGAACGACTTTAGAACCTCGAGTCTTGTCAACCTGTATCATATAATATGCATAGTGCATTCAGAATTTGAATTCAATGAGTTTAGAATTAATGTGATTTTAGAGCCCGTTTGGACATAAGAATCTTTTTACTTATTTCGATTTTTTTTTTCAAAGTCAGTGTTTGGCTATAAAATTTCAAATTTTCACTTGAAGATGAATTTTTGAATTTTTCAAAAATTTTAAAAACTCCAAAAAGTTGTTTTTCAAAATTTTTACTTAGATCACCGACAAAAATTCAAAAACAACCCAAAATTATATTCATGTCCAAACACAACTCTAATTTGTAACTTACAAAACTTGAAAAATATACGCAATTTGCAAGACTAACAAATTATACGTAAATTCCGGGATATGAATTTTTCTTTATGCCCCGTTATCAAACTTGTGTAATGATGAGATCATGCAAAATGGAGGAAGAGCTTAGCCTTAACATACCTGGACCAATTTTCTTAGAATTTGCATTTCACGTCTTATAGAATCAACAACCAACGTTATCTGTATTTGGTATGAAATTGTTTTGCTCCCTGAACCCACTCTCTTTACATAAGAGATACACATGAATTCACATTGTTTTGGTATGAAATTATTGTGTTCTATGAAGAACTCACAGTCAGCCCACTCTTTATAAGTGATTCAATTCAATTTTTCATTTCTTTGTTACTAAGGAGTAAATATTTCACTAGTTATAGGAAATTTTTAGCGGGGGTGGCCCACTTAGTGGATGACTAAGCCACCTTAATCCACCAAAATGTGACATTTATGCAAGACTTATGAGTCACCTTAAATGAGATGGGGTGCTGCCACGTTTTTGGGGGTGGGGAAGAATTAATCTTATCCAAATATATCTCTAATTAATTAGGTAATGTCCCGTTACCAGGTAATTAATCAATTATCCGTAAAATTGAGAATTATTTTCACTTACTTAAAATATTACTCACTTTTCACATACCTTATACACCTTACTAGCATGGTCATGTAGTACCTTGTATTGCACTAGTCCATAAATACCGAGTATTTTAGCTCGGGTCGTATTTTATCCCAAAATGCCAAACTTCGACAAAATTCATTTTTCTTTGACTTGCTCTCCCTTCACCTTCATGAATTTACTAATCACTTGTGAAATAGCATAATCCTTATAATCCCCAAATAATCCTTTTCTTGGACTGATGTCAATTGCCTTACGACAAATTCAACATAAAATACTGCAGGGTGCAACACTGTCGTAACTTAATACTGCAAAGCGTCACATCACCGTCATGTAATACTGCTGGGTGCAATACTTGTCGTAACTTAATACTGCGAAGCGTAACATCATCGTAATGTATTACTGCAGAGCATAACATTGATGTAATACTGCGGGGCTAATATTTTCTTAGTGTTTAGTCATGTAAATAATAATAGTACTTATTAGTCGTACTTATTTTAACAACTTATTAACTTTAAATTATGTTCATTTTCATTATGGCTTACTAATAATATTTATTTTATGTGATTTTATTATCTTTATTGTTGAATATTTTATTATAATGCCATGACTCATCTCATATTTTATGTTGTTTTCTTGAAAAATACCTTATATAGTTTTGTCTTACTAGCATTAAAGAAATATTTGGAGTATAAATTCTATGTTTTATGATATGAAGACTTTATGGAAAGAAAATATCGTAGATCAAAAAACATAACTTTTATTGGTTTGGTTTGATCTTTAAATTTAATAATCCGACACAATCAATTTGGTTTAGTAATTGAAAAACCCGAACCAACTTGCCCTACACACACCTCTATATACAGCTAGATATATGCACGGGCATAACAAAAATCAAAGGATCCTAATCTTTCACCTGCAGTAAAAAAGTAGCAAATTTAGTGGTGAAAAAAGGAATCCTAAGTAATTTATTACACTTTAAAATTTAGAGGAACGAACACAAGTAAAAAAGTGCTACTGTATGCATCATGTGCAGAGACATGATAACATAGAGCCATAGAACTCTCATTGAAACATCCATGGTTTCTTTCTTTCCACTAAACACATGCAATAAATGATTTTCTAAGTCCTATTCCAAATGCAAAATGTGCACAATAAACAAAATTGTAAGACATACAAAATATTGGACTTCTGCATCAATTTTCGGAAAGGGGTCAAAACTACCACTATCATTTGGTAAATGGTTTATAAATACCCTCTGTCCATCTATCCATCCAAAACAATACACGACATTATTTTTATATCTAAAAGTACCCCTCTTTTAACGGCGCAGCACTTGGGCTCCACGTCTAATGTATTGTCATTTTTTCTATTCGGCCACGTGGCTCTCGTTCAGAATCCAAATATTCGCCCCATTAACTAAACTCGCCCAATTATTTGCCCGACCCATTACTTTCTCTTTTTCTCAATCTCTCCCCACCTTCTCACCATTCTAGCTCCAACACCCCCCACCCCCAACAAAAAAAACCAAACACAACAAATTCAAAGGTCCATACTTTTCCAACAAATCAAACAATCTAAAACCAACCCATCATCTTCCCCTTAACCCCCACCTCAAACTCCTCCTCTTCCGATCACAAATCTAAAAACCCAAAATCAAAGCAAAAATGATGCACATGACCTTTTACTGGGGTAACAAAGTGACCCTTTTGTTTGATTTTTGGAGAATTGATTCTTGGTCAAGATATACCCTCGCTTTACTCGCTTGTTTCATCGTCTCTGTTTTTTATCAATATATGGAAGATCGACGTCAGCGATTCAAGATTCTCTCTTCAAATTCCAAGAAAAACTACCCTCCGCCGTCGTCCAACGCCGCCGTGAATATCCCTCTTCTTTATTCTTTTCCGATTGTCGGCGGTGTGTGAAATTCAGCGAGATTTGCGACGGCAATTCTATTTGG